TGGAGCTAAGATCTTGGCAGGTTGGGTCCCGGTGAGTATAACAATGGGATGATGGGTGTACTTAAAGTGGAACCTCACCTCCACTCCTGGATCCCCCTCATTGGCCACTGACATCTTCAGCCAGTCCAGTCACCAGCATTTTTGATTGGCTGGGACAAGGGGATGTCATTCCTATGCATGCGTGGGAGTTCATTCATCTCAGCAATCGACGAAATTGTAAACTGAACTGTACTTTGAAGTGTACATTGTGAACAGGCAGACATGAATACTTTAACACAGAAGAGACTTAGTATGTCCCTTTTGTTCCTCTTTAACAAGGCAGGTACAGTATGGGTCTGGATGGCAGAACTGCAGCTCCTATGGAAGAAAATGATGTATTATCGCCCTCTAAGGGCCTATCACTGGTACTGCAGCCTAAGAACATTTTCATAACTCCAGGGCTCATACAATACAGTTTAGCTTCTCCCTCTCTAGGTTGGATCGATGATTTTGTGCGTGTGTGTATGTATATATTTTCTTGTTGCTTAAAAAGAGAATCTGTGAACCTGAAAGGATCTTTAAAGCTATAGTTGGCACAATGTCCCTGTAAAATCATTTTAATATTCTGCATCCACTGTTCACTGGTTACTGGTTTTAGCGACTTTACCTTAAAGCTGAACTATGGGGATGGTATGGTATATTTTGCATACTCGCAATAGGCCAGCTGGGCACAATGTAAGTATGTATATAGTTACATAGTAATTCAACATATAGTTACATAGTTAGTCTGGCTGAAAAAAGAAAGACAAAAGTCTATCCAGTTCAACCATATAAAAAAAAAAAAAAGTTATAATCCTACACCCACAGTTGATTCAGAGGAAGGCAAAAAAAACCCAGCAAATCATGATCCAATTTGCTCCTGCTGGGAAAAAATTCCTTCCTGATCCCTGAGAGGCAATCAGATATTCCCTGGATCGACTTTACCTATAAATGTTAGTATCCAGTTATATTCTGTGTATCTAAGAAAGAATCCAGGCCTTTTTTAAAGCAATCCACTGAGCTGGCCAGAACCAACTCTTGAGGGAGTCAATTTCACAGCTCTCACTGTGAAGAAACTTTTCCGTATTTGGAGATTAAATTGCAAATGTATATGTGATACCTGTGGAAACTGTAAATCAGTGTAGTAGCCCAAGCTTCTCCCATGATGGCTGAAGTCTTCTGGGCTGAGCATCTGCCCTTTTAGTATCCAAAGGGGGGTCGGTCGCTCATCATTGGCTTCATTCAGAAAACTCTTTGCATTTTTCGCAATATAAAGCAGTCTGTGCTTGGATGAGGTGAAATTTGTGATGTTACTGCAGCCCCAGGGGTGTATTTACCACAAGGCAAACAAGGCATTTGCCTAGGGCGGCATTTTTTCATTCTTCCCTGGAAGAAGGGACACTTGCAGCATGGGGAGCAGGTGGGTACCAAGAGAGGCTGTGGGCTGCTTGATGGTGTATGCAGAGCCCGACTCTCGGGCCCAGGGATGTCCGAAGCTGTGAAGGTGAGTGGCTTTCTCTCTCTCACTGGGTGGGAGGGGAATATGTGTTAGTGGAAAGCTCTCTTGGGTGGGTGGCAGGGGTGGTGTTGGTCAATGTGAGGCTCTCTCCACTGGGAGGGGCGCATCCAATTTTTGTGTTGCCTAGGGCAGCACAAAACCTAAATACACCACTGTGCTGCCCCCCACACCTCATTCAATCTTTGAACACTTTGCATTCAAGGCATTCTCTGAAAGCTTCGGCCCGCCATATAGTGGTCAGGAGTATGCAATGTACAGCACAGCATACAGATTCCAGAAGTTGGACTTATGTAATGTACAATATACATTACATACTCCTGACCATCATACTCTGTATGCTGTGCTGTATTGTACATATTATACAGGATTTATACAGTTTGCACAGCACTTCACAAAGTGAGGACAGGCAGTTACAATTACAATACAATTCAATACAAAAGGTATCAGAGGGGCTGGGGCCGCACGGTGATCATCTGCAACTGGCATCCACCTAATATCCCCCATCAGAAGTGACGTTCCACTTGCGGTCAGCAAGGGTGGTTGGGTGAGACACTGCAAACGCAATACACCATTTGCAGGAATATTGATGTTGGGCATGCAATAATTAGAATTTTGTGAGTGTGTTACTGGTTTTATAATAAATGGTATCGCGCTATTGGCTTTTCCTTATTTCCTTTCCTGTGGCAGAGGGATCATTAGGCTAGGTTCACGTGTATGCAGTTTGCGTTTGATCCATTTCTGCAGTGCTTTTTGAGGTCCGTTTTGCGTTTTTGATGCGTTTGAAGTTTTTTTCTTCTTGTTGCTAGGCAGATTAAAAACCAAAAACACAGCAAAAACTCACTAAATGCTTTCCTGCAGCGTTTCCATTGAAGTCTATAGAATCAAAAATGCAACTTTTTGTGTTTATAAAAGTCCCTGACCCTTTCCAAAAAACGTACTGGGTGAAAACGCGCAGATGTGAACACGTCCCATTGGAAATCGTGTTAAATGGACTGTAGTGCATTTCTGCAAAACCCAGCTGAAAACGCTTAGGTGTGAACCTAGGGCTATAGAGGATTTCCTACCATCATATGACCATGTGATTACTGATGGACACCATTATGAAGGAAGAACTATAACCATGAGTGATATTCACCACAAGAGCTGTTGTTTATCAATGTGAGATAAACTATAATATCTGGTGAGTGCCGCTGGATTGGGGGTGATCTGTTTGGAGCACGTGGTGTCACTGGAGTGGAGTATTTGCTGATTACTGACTCTTGTGGAAGGTTTATTCAATCACATGGCAATTTCATTGAAAAGAAGGACTTAAAGTGGAGCTCCACGTCAAAAGAGAAAGTTCGGGTTTAAGGACTGCTCCCCCGCTCCCCATTAAGGATTGACACCTTTGAGGGGTGGGGGGAGCGGGTACCCGAATTTGACAGGTATCCGCTCCCACTTCCGGTCCGATTGCCTAGGCGATCAGAAACGGAAGGTGTCCTCCCTCCCTGTAGTCTTTTGGGACACGTGACAGGTCCCAGAAGACTACAGGACCATCCATGAAATGAAGCGCAGAGCTACTCGCGCATGCGCAGTGGGTACCTGGCTGTGAAGCTGCAAGCTGTCACAGCTGGGTGCCCACACTGAAGATGCCGACCTCCTGGAATACAGGGCGGCCGGTGAAAATGGGCTGCGGGGGGACCGAGGGACAGGTAAGTGGCTGTTTTCTAAAAGTCAGCCGCTACAGTTTTTGTAGCGGCTGACTTTTATTTTTTTGACAGGGTGAGTGGAACTCCGCTTTAAGATAGGAATACACGATTAGAAAATCAACCGATCGGTCATCCGATGACTGAGAGGCGTTCGTTCGTTGGTCAAAATCGTGGCCCACATTAACCAATCTAAAAAAAAAGTTCGTCGGGCAATACGTAGTGTTGACGTCTTCCGTACTAGTGGAAGTGATGTGGTGTGCATGTGACCTTGTAGCCACGCCCTTCCGGCCAGAACGAGCGATATATACAACAATTAACAGCAATGAGTATAATATAGTTTATTACATTAACTATATACATAAATAGTGATACATAAAATATAATATGCATCATTCTGGTTTCATTATCTCATTAGGCCAATCTACTTTTAACATTTGGATTTTTTGTTCATGTTTACGAAGATTCCTTGGACATAAACATCTGGGTCATCTTCTGTTTCGGCTCATGCGTGATAGCGCTTGATAGATTTTTTTCGTACGACTGTCATACCACCGCATAGAAAATCGGTTGTTCGAATGCGAAACGACAAAAATTTTCACTGTTGTTCAACCAGATTTTTTCATCACAATATCATTATTGGTTAAAACATCCTGCTCATCAACGGAGGGAAAATCGTTCGGTCAGCGGTTCCGCAAAATTTTTCATACGATTTTCTTATCGTGTGTACGGTGCATAACACACAGTTATATGGTGGACTTATACAGTATATGAACCCACAGCACATTTTAGTTCTCACTTTTATGAACTGGACATTTTTTATTTATTTGAATTATTTATTCATATATGTTACAGAACTTGAGCACTTTATTTGTATTTGCGCTGCCTATACTGGGTGTATTAATGATTCAGTTTATGTGAATGTACATTATACATTACATACTCCTCACTATCATACTGTGCTGTATTGTACTTATTATTATTATACAGGATTTATATGGCACCAACAGTTTGCTCAGCACTTCACAAAGTGAGGGCAGACAGTACAGTCACAATAGAATTCAATACAAAAGGAATCCGAGGAGGCTGCTCGTCAGAACTGTCAATATAACAGAGAGGGTCAAGTGATACAAAAGATAACTGTGGAGGATGAGCTGATTGAGAAAATAAAAAATGTGTTTTTTAAGGTAGAGCAGGATAGGCTTCTCTAAAGAGATGGGTTTTCAGGGATTGCCTAAAGGTGCATAGAGTAGAAGATAGTCAGGCAGATTGGGGTAGGGGGTTCCATAGAATGCATAAAGATTTAAAAACAAATAAAAAAATTAACTTTTTTTTTATTTTAGATCCACTTTAAATGAATTAAGTGTCAAATGCCCAAGTGTCTTTCCTCAAATACAGTAAATCAGTTTTTTTTTTTTCATTTTTAAACCTCAATTTTCTCATCTGCTAACCACATCTCTGTTAGAGCTGCACCCAACACAATGCAGCATGCTGCCGACCTGACCATTGGTCAGGAATAAACTGCATCTTCATGAAATATTAACATAATTATAGCTGAGCCCACGGCTGCTGAAGTAAATATAATTGCAGGGGTAAAGTGAATTTCCTTTTTTATTTTTCAAATGAATATTGTAAATTTGTGCTAAAATTTATTTTTACATCATGTAGATAGTTTTAAAATTGCATATGGTCTCTTTAAAGCTGAATTATATAAGCAGAGGAAATAAAAATATATGAAATGGCATATTAGCATCTTGAAACTAGGAATGGTCATATGCAGGGGTGGACTGACCATTTGGAAACTCAGGCACTGCCCGAGGGCCTGGGGTCAGTAGGGGGCCCCGTGAGATGCCCCTGGTACCTTTTTCATAGGCTTTTTTGAGTTTGGGCAAGGACACAGGGGCCCCATGATCTCCTATTGCCCGGGGGGCCCCATGAGTTGTCAGTCCAGCCCTGGTCATATGTACCTCCAAGCTAGATTCTCCAAAATGTTCACATTGCATAGACTATATTGTATCAAAAAGGTCAGTTGACACAAACCTGAATGTCAGTTCTAGGTGAATGCAGATGGCTACATCATCTACCATCTTCTCATATAGGGGACTCTACGGGATGTATTTATAAAACAATTGCATAGCAATTTGCCCAGTTAACGTGTATGCACATTGGTTCTGTGCAAATAGGGTATATTTGGAATATTATTAGGTTATTTCCTGTGCTGGAAATGTTTTTCATTGATTTAAAATAGAAAATGCTGCATTTGACCACTAGACGGTGCTAAGTATCATAGGAAATTCTTATGATACATCTCACCTCTCGTGGCCAAATGCAATATTTTCTGTTTTATATTAAAGCGGAGCTCCACCCAGAAAGGGAAGTTCCACTTAAAGCCTTTGTTCCCCGCTCCTCATTAAGAATTGGCACCTCTGGGGAGCGGAGGAGAGGGGCAACCGCATTTGAGAGGTTCCCACTCCCACTTCCACTGCAATCACCTAGGTGATCGGAAGCGAAAGTTGTCCTCCCCCCCTCCCTCCCTGTAGTCTTCTAGGACACATGACAGGTCCCAGAAGACTATGGGGCCATTCACAATGCACAGTACTACTCGCGCATGCGCAGTGAGCACCCGGCTGTGAAGCCGCAAGCTGTCACAGCCGGGTGCCCACACTGAAGATCCCGCCGCCGGGGAGAGAAGATGTCTGGTGAAACCAGCCATGGTGAGGACACCGCTGTTTTGAGGGACAGGTAAGTGACTGTATTTTAAAAGTCAGCAGCTACAGTTTTTGTAGCTGCTGACTTTAATTTTTTTTCAGGTGGAACTCCGCTTTAAGTGACACCAAACTCTGGTTTAAAAAAAAAATTCCATTCTGAACTCAGTAAAGTGGCTTCTATTGCTCTCTTCCTCCTCCAGATCTCCAAATTCTGCTGTGATCTGACTTCTTGTTAGAGGGTGGCTACATTCATTCTCCATGGCCCCACTGTAAGTGGGAGCATAACTAACATTCCTTTTTCACTCACAAAATGGACTAGGGACCAGGGGAGGACTAACAACTCATGGGGCCCCCGGGCAATAGGGGATCATGGGGCCCCTGTGTCCTTGACCACACTCAAATCACACCCAAAAAAGCCTATAAAAGGTACCAGATGCATTTCATGGGGCCCCCTACTGACCCTGGGCCCTCAGGCAGTGCCCAAGTGCTCAAATGGTCTGTCTGCCCCTGCTAGGGACTATAGATTTTGGGATTTGTAGTGTGCATAGAGTAGCAGGGGCGGACTGACCATTTGGAAACTCGGGCACTGCCCGAGGGCCCGGGGTCAGTAGGGGGTCCCATGAGATGCCCCTGGTACCTTTTTCATAGGCTTTTTTGAGTTTGGGCAAGGACACAGGGGCTCCATGATCCCTTATTGCCCGGGGGCCCCATGAGTTGTCAGTCCGCCCCTGTAGAGTAGTGCACATGACCTCAACTAATATGCACTGCTCGTATATAAAAAAATGGAAGTGAGAGGGAAAAGGAGAGGTGTGGGAGCTCACAGAAGACATTACAAGGAGGCCTTCATCCAGCACAGAAAAATATCTAATATGGCCAGTTAGGGGATGTGTATGGGGGACCCGTGTCCTTTAAAATGCCCAAACTCAAAAAATATTCTAGAATTTTGCCTATGAAAGAGCCAGGGTTCATCCATGGGGCCCCCTACTATGACCCTAGGCCCCCTCGGGCAGTGCCCAAGTTTCCAAATGGTCAGTCCGCCCCTGAGTCCCCTATAATCTTGCAGTAGTCTCTTGTAATGTGGAAACTGTTGCAATGTGCTGTAATTAGAAGCAATCCATAGCAGTCTCCAGTAATCTGGAATGTCTGAGGACATGACAAGTAACAATTGCTTCAATACCAGGCTGTATATATAGGTGTGGTGGTATAAAAGCTGTTAAAATATACATTGATCAACCAGAGGGGGCTGTTTTTTTCCATAACAAAAGCGGAGGTACTCTTTAAAGAGGAGCCCCCCCCCTTCCCTTGTAAAGGTAACTCTATGAAGCTGACCTAAAACACCTACCCTCATGCTGCTTCTCCTTCTTTCTTCTTCTGTATGCTTTCCTCCCCCACCGCCATTTTGGAATTTTTTTCTGGGGTCCACTTGCAATAAAGCTTGTGCATGCAGAAGATAGAGTACATAACATCATGTGGCTCATCTTACGCATTTACATTTGTCTGTTTGGAAAAAAAAATCCTTCCCTTGAGATCTTGCTGGGGGGGAGGTTTTTTTCTAACCAGAATAATGTAAAAAAGAAAACGCTGTTTGAGGGCCAGTTCACGCTACATGCATTTCAGTTGCTTTTTTTCTGCATCCAAAATGCACAGAAAGTAGGTTATATGCAGGGGCAGATTGACCATTTGGAAACTCGGGAAATGCCCGGGGTCAGTAGGGGGCCCCATGAGATGCCCCTGGTACCTTTTTCATAGGCTTTTTAGAGTTTGGGCAAGGACACAGGGGCCCCATGATCCTCTATTGCCCGGGGGCCCCATGAGTTGTCAGTCCGCCCCTGGTTATATGGTTGTCAATATCATAGTTTACATCAGTGCTTGCAGTTCCAGTAGCAGAAAAAAAAAGTAGAACATGCTGCATTTTCTCTGCACATAACTGTACTGGAAGGCGTAAAATGCATAAAAAATGCACTGGAACGCATATGTCCCTATTTAAATTGAAGAAAAAGAGAGGGAAAAAAATAAACTGGAATGCATATGTCCCTATTTAAATTGAAGAAAAAGAGAGGGAAAAAAAATGAACTGGAATGCATAAAAAATGCACCGGACCGCGTCAAAAATGCACACGCAAAAACGCTTCCAGAACGCATCTGGACTGGGTTTCTATAGTGTGAACTGGCCCTTAGACTTCATGCACACTGAGCCTTTTTACAGCGGTGGTTTTGGGCATCATGTGTTTTTTTCAACAGCCAGTAAACTCCCCAGCATGTTATCCTATGTGTCCATGCACACATAGGCTTTAATCAGCATTTTTTTGGTAGTGGTATTTTCTGGCTGGAAAAAACCCAGAACTAGTCGATTTCAGGAGTTATTTAGCTGTAAAAAAAAATCCCTATCTCTAGTAAACGTGGTAAAATGCAGCAAACAAATTTTTTTTGTGCTAAATGCCAAAAAATGTAGCTAAACACTAATGCAAAAAACGTTAAAAAACTTGCATTTTTAACGCAACTTTATACAGCTAATGCTACCAGCGCTTTTTTTCGTCCAGTGTACATGAGATCATTTCATATCGGCATGCAGAGATCCATGTTGATCTGAAACGTAATAACATAGGGTAAAGATGAACTGGTTTGCTTAAGCCAGTGGTGTCCAAACTTTTTTCAAAGAGGGCCAGATTGGATGAAGTGAACATGGTGGAGGGCCGAACATTTTTCCAAACATTCTTTGAACCATTACAATTAAATGCAAATAAATTATTTTATGCCCCAGTTACCGTATTTTTCGCCGTATAAGACACACCTGACCATAAGACGCACCTAGGTTTTAGAGGCAGAAAACAGGAAAAAAAAAAATTCTGAACTAATGGACTGCAGACACAGTACAGCAGATGACCAGAGACTGCGACAGCACAGGGATGACCAGAGACTGCGGACAGCACAGGGATGACCAGAACTGCGGACAGCACAGGGATGACCAGAAAAACTGCGGACAGCACAGGGATCACCAGAGACTGCGGACAGCACAGGGATGACCAGAGACTGCGGACAGCACAGGGATGACCAGAGACTGAACGGACAGCACAGGGATGACCAGAGACTGCGGACAAACAGGGATGACCAGAGACTGCGGACAAACAGGGATGACCAGAGACTGCGGACAGCACAGGGATCACCAGAGACTGCGGACAGCACAGGGATGACCAGAGTGACTGCGGACAGCACAGGGATGACCAGAGACTGCGGACAGCACAGGGATGACCAGAGACTGCGGACAGTACAGATGACTGCTGACCTTTGGGGAGGTGGGGAGCGGGTACCTGAATTTGACAGGTACCCGCTAAACTTCCGCAGTTGTTCTTTGACCTTACCTGTTCCTCGATCCACACATAGGCTTTAATCAGCTTCTGTAATGGCGCTCGGTGACAGCCGGTATGCCCAGTGGCTGAGCGAGAAACACTTGAACTTTGTCGATTGGTCAGGAGTTATTCTGGCTGTAATGCCCTATCTCTAGTACCGTGGTAAAATTCACAAAAAGCACCGCTTTTTGTGCAAATGCACCCGGCTGTCATGCCCAACACTAATGCAAAAAACCGTTAAGAAGCTTGCATTTTTAACGCAACAGGTATCCAGCTGCAGAGCTGAGCCCGGCGCTATTCTGAAACGTCCAGTGCATGAGAAATACCGGATCGGCATGCATAAGACACACTGACACATCTGAATGGAGGGCCGTATTAAACCGACCCTCGGGTAAATGATGAACTTTGGTTGCCTGGCTTAAGCGCTCCTTCACATTAATGCACTTAGAAACAAAGCATGCATTTTGCATAAAATGCGTATCATGTTTTTGATGCATTTTTAATGTTTTTTTTGGTGCATTTTCTGGATTACTGGCTCCCAGCATGCACCTTGCATGCAACGTGAACATGTGACTCAAAAAAACACACCAAAAATGAACAGCAGGTGAGTTTTTGATGCATTTCCTGTAGAAATCAATGAGAGGCGTGTTTTTTGTGCATTTGAAACAGGGCACCAAAGATGCAGCATGCAAAACACACCAAACCCACCAAAATATATATATATATATATATTTTTTTTTTATTATTATTATTATATTTAATTATTTTTTTCTTAAGTTATACTTTGGGCCCCCATAATGCCCTCGTTTGTTTATCCATGTTCTATTCTATCCTTTGTAATATTACAAAAGAGTACAGCAGAAATAAATGGGTTTAATATCTGTTCTGCATCATACTGGCAGTTTCCACAGCATTTGTCCAAATCCAGTTTTTTTTTTTTTTTTAATCTCTGTCTGGGTTAAGAGCTCAGCTGGAGCTTGTTGTGTTCTCTCAAAAACATTGCTAAATGGCTGCTCGGTGTTTCTGAACACATCTATTAAAATAGCGATCTTACCATTTTTTTCCTCCCTGACATTGAATTAAGAACATTCAGCTTGCAATCAGCGCAGAGGCTGAAATTGTTCTGTTGTAAGAACCACCCACAGCCTGCAATAACATGATCAAACGGCGAATTCCAGGTGGTGGTGACGTCAAGGGCTGCTATTAAAACCAACCAATAAACACTGATTATTTTAATATGCTGCCATATTTTGCATCTCACAAAACTGAATCTAAGGCATTCTTTTCATTGTTTATATAAAGATCTCCAATCCATTCTAAAGAATGACAAATATACAATGACAGAAATATGCCATTGCTGCCTTGTTTTTGAAGATGACATTTCCAGAGCTGTCATTCAGTTTCATATTTTACTACTTGCCAGACACCTGATGTGTACATGCTTGTTTCAGAGCAATAAATCAAACTTAATGAAGCAAATGAGTCAAGTATGACAACCCTGAAATGTGCACCATTAACACAAGGCAGCAATGGCATCTACAATAGTTCTTTACTGGTGGAATCAGTTTAAACTGGGATTTCAGCTAAAAACCATCAATGGTGTCAATGGAAGGAATAGTCCCCCATTGTTGGTGTCCAGTGGAATGAATAGTGACCCATCATTGAATTCATTGGGAGAAATAGTGTACCATCTTTGGTATTAATGGAAGGAATAGAGCCCCATCTTTGGTGTCAGTGGAAGGAATACTGCTACATTGTTGGTGTCAGTGGAAGTAATCGTGTCCCATCACTGGTGTCAGTAGGGGGAATAGTGGCTAATTTTTGGTGTTACTGGAAGTAAAAGTGCCCCATCACTGGTTCAGTGGGAGGAATGGTGCTCCATCATTGGTGTCAGTGGAAGGAATTGTGCCCCATTAATTTCAGTGGGAGGAATAACATTCCATCATTGGTATTAGTGGGAGCAATAGTGCCCCATCATTGATTTTGGTGGAAAGAATAGTACCCCCCGTCATTGGTGTCAGTGCAAGGAATAATTCCCCATCATTGATTTCAGTGGGAGGAAAAGTGCTCCATCATTGGCGTCAGTGGAAGGAATAGTAACCCATTGTTGGTGTCAGTGGAAGGAATAGTGACCCATCATTGATTTCATGGGAGGAATAGTGCACCATCTTTGGTATTAGTGGAAGGAATAGTGCTACATTGTTGGTGTCAGTGGAAGGAATAGTGTCCCATCACTGGTGTCAGTAGGAGGAATAGTGTCCCATCACTGGTGTCAGTAGGAGGAATAGTGGCCCATCTTTGCTGTCACTGAAAGTAAAAGTGCCCCATCACTTGTTCAGTGGGAGGAATGGTGCTCCTTCATTGG